ATTACCATATTACTAAGCAGGTTTAGATAAACACAATATATGTTGGTGGTAAGGCTTCAGACCATTTCAATGAAATAGGCTGAAACATTACTGACAAAAATGCCATAAGGCTTCATTCAGCTTCACCTACCATCCAATCACAGTACTTAATAGTCATTGGATGCTTCTGACTGATAAAATGGTAGCATCCTGTGGATCACAACAAATTAGAAACATTGCTCAAGTATTCCTGTCTGTATCCTGTTAAACAATGATGGCTAAAGTTTGACTTTGCACCTGCTATGGGCTGCCCTTCCAATGCTTCATTTTACAGGTTAGCCATAACCACTATATGCAAATATACTTGGTGGGTGGCCTGAAGTGGCTATTATGGAAAATGTTACATAAAAACATAGAATGTGACGGCAGATAACCATTTGGCCCATCTAGTCTGCCCAATTTTCTAAATACTTTCATTAGTCCCTGGCCTTATCTTATAATTAGGATAGCCTTATGCCTATTCCACGCATGCTTAAACTCCTTTACTGTGTTAATCTCTACCACTTCAGCTGGAAGGCTATTCCATGCATCCACTACCCTCTCAGTAAAGTAATACTTCCTGATATTATTTTTAAACCTTTGTCCCTCTAATTTAAGACTATGTCCTCTTGTTGTGGTAGTTTGGTAGTTTGTGGCAGCTAACTGCAAAGAACAATAGTGCATGATAAAGGACTATATCGTTTTAACATTTGTTAATACATATGTACCCCATCTTTAACAATATCTAATACATGCCTGGTAGTGTGTCGCTAACAGATATGGCGGAACCTGGGCAGAATGTACAAATAGAAACCCAGTTGGTAAACCACTCAACAAAAAAAGAGGCATGGAAAGAAAAGAAAGATTCTGTATAAAGTGGCAAATGTATCAGGCTGCTCTCCTGTCTTTGTGCATTTGTGTTTGTGCTCTCCTATACTTGAATGCCATATATGTTTATCGAACATTCCATTTTTCTACTGTTTGAACTCTTTTCCCATGTTCTACAGAGTGTTCATTTCTTTGCCCTTCTCTTTTGTATTTATTGGATGGTTTACCAACTGGATTTATATTTGTTTTACTGCAATGGGCAAATAGACTCCCCTTACACGCAGTGAACGGTTTCAGCTGAGGAAGCAGTTATATTTACTATTCGGCAGTCATTTATATATTTTCTTGAGCTGTTTTTCTGACATTCTGCTTAGATAGTCCGGTGTATATACAATGAAGATGTAACCAAGATGTGTAGTAGAAGCATGTTAATATGAGATGATGCAGCTCTTTGACTTATGTCTTCTTCTCAGAAAACACAAGTAAGGAATATGTCAAAATCAAATAAAATACAGTGTTTAGAGGAGGGGCCTGACACCACATTATTCAGAAATTACAGTGAAAAATGGATCCAGTTTATAAATAAGACTGGCTTAAAACAATGACTATTATTTTTTTTGACTTTCAGATTTTTTGACCTTAAGTTTTAAGTTCACTTTGAATTCACTTTAAATTATTACTTTAGCAAATCCCTTTAAGTGATCTGAAAATTACCTATACTTATCTTTTTTTTTTTTTTCAAATTCACTTGCAAGAAATATCGAACATCACTGTGCTCATTTGCCATGATTTTTATCATAATAGACTTTTTAGATTTTTAACTTTTTTGTATGTGTTGCACGTCTGCCTGTAAATACAGTCTACTAATATACCCAATGCCGCTAGAAGAAATATTACCTTTTGAAATGTTTGAAACTGGTTTTTTTTTATGTAAAATGTGCAAATTTCCAATAATTGGCAGTATTTTTGGTCCTGGAGGAAAATTTTTGTAGTTATTTCCTTTCCAGTCATAAAAAGTATTTAGCAAAAAAAGGAAGACAATTATTGATAGAAACACTGAGACTGGATCAATAGCAAACATGTCTTCACAGAAATCTAGAGTGAGAAAAGAATAAATAGAAATGTTTTCTATGAGATTAAAAAATATTTAGGGTTATAATTTGGTTTTACATACTGATTTTTCTGTATGATTTTTCTGCTTTATAATAAAATATAGTTTACAAACAATACTTGCAGTTCTAAAATTTTCATACTGACAAATAGGATAACGAATTAAATGCTGCAGAATCAGTTAATTAACCATAAAAGGCAGGCTGAATCAGACAGATAACAAAGACCTGGTTTCTGTTACAAAACTTGAGTATGTGTTTAATATGTTATGGCTGAGATTAAATGAAACATATTAAAAGGAGAGCTTAATTGTAAGGAGCTTTCTGGTTGAAACAGGGTAACCCCAAAATGAACAAAGCTAAACAAAAGCAAGTGACTAACCAGAGATCAATTAAAGGGACACTATAGGCACCCATACCACTTCAGCACATTGAAGTGGTCTGTGTGCAGTGTCCCGTCACCCTGGCACTCACTAGAGGGATTTCCGGTTATTTAGGCAACTTTTGGACACCTAAATTACTCTGGACGACCTCACGCTATGTATGAGGACTTCCAGTGTCAAAGGAATCCCAATAAGAAATAATTGAATAATACTTTACTATGGAGAAATCCTAATGCGAGAGCTGCCATTGCCGCGCATGTGCATTAGATCTCCCCCGTCTGCAGGGGAGGAGTGAAGGTGGACCCGAGCCAGCACCAAGAACCGAGAACATTGGTGCTGAACCCAAGTAAGTGACAGAAGGGGTTATTAATAAGAGGGTATGAGGGGTCATTGATGGAGGGGCAAGCTATAGTGCCAGTAAAACTAGTTTGTTCTCCTAGCACTTTAGTTTCCCTTTAAGATTGAAACTAAACCTTTATGGGAATTTAAACTCTGCATTATGTAGGTAAATTAAATAGTGAGCCATAAATATTTACATGAATGACAGACTTACACATTTACTACTAATCTATTACTTACATTTGTTACTAAGGTTCTACCATTAACCCCTTAAGGACACATGACATGTGTGACATGTCATGATTCCCTTTTATTATTATTATTATTATGATATTTATAGAGCGCCGTCAAATTCCGCAGAGCTTTACAATGGGTGGACGAACAGACATGTAGTTGTAACCAGACAAGTTGGACACACAGGAACAGAGGGGTTGAGGGCCTTGCTCAATGAGCTTACATGCTAGAGGGAGTGGGGTAAATGACACAAAAAGGTAAGGATAGTATTAGACTAGTGACAGTTGCAGAAGAGGAATCAGTCAGGAGCTATTAACAGTTTAATGGATACGCTTTTATGAAGAAGTGGGTTTTTAATGATTTTTTGAAGGAGTGGAGACTGGGTGAGCATCTAACGGAGGAGGGAAGCGAGTTCCACAGGAACGGTGCAG